AGGAAAAAGGAGATGGTGACACATGAATCTAAGGCTATGACTTCACTGTACTGATGCAGCTGCGCTGCTATAAGCTCTCTAGTGTAGCCTCTCTAAGCTGATGGGAGAGAGCTCTCCTGTTGACCTAATTAATCCACCCTCAACAAATGGTGGTAGGAGATGCTCTCCGCTGACGTAGTGCTGCCCACACCGGCATTAAGGTTGGAGTAATTTATGTCACTTGGGGGATGGCTTATTCACACCCCTGAGTAACAAGTTATACTGACAAAAGTGGTAGTCTAGACATATCCTAAGTCTTAACTTAGGGGAGTTTTGAAAACACTTTTTGGAAACTTATTAATATTCTCATGTGGCAAAAGAGAAGCAACTGAAAACATTAAAAAAAATCAGTGAAATCAACACATGTAATATGCATAATATAGTAATGGAACGACCTACAAAATGCTAACAAGTAAAATAAAGCATCCAAGAAATTCTTATACTAAGCTTTGAATACAGGGCTATATTCAGGATCACTAATATTATATCAACAACAGAGTCTGATGAAATTCCTTGTACGCTGTTGAGTCCCATTTATTGTTGACATAAGTGCCAGAATTTACATATCTAGTTAATCTTACATGTGTGATAGGGCCATTCCCCAAAAACATTCATGATTTTTTTTCCTGGTGTGTAGTCAGAAATCAGAAAAATGGTTAATTGAAACCATCTAGAAACAGACAAAATGCAGTATGACTAGGGTTGGAAGGATTAGATTATCAGTAAATGTCAATAAACTTTGATTTTGCTATCCACACACAAACCAACAAATTTCCATTGGTAACTGAAATTCACAGATAGACAAAGTAATAAAAATCTGCTTGAGAACCACAGAGTTTGATTTAAGGATATTAACTTTGTTTATTTTTATATGTAAAGTTGACAATATGTGTGTTTAATGGATATAAAGCTTTAGCTTTCTGAGTCTCGGTGTCAGTAAATAATTGTCTGACCTTCTTCCTGATGCCTCACCCCACAATTTTGTCCAACTGTGAAATTAATATTAATTTTTATTTTTATCTGTTGAAATTCTTAAAAATAAAAACCGAATTCTGCCAAGTCAAAATATGAGGCGTGGCATACAGATCCCAATGGTGGTTAGGCATGCAGCATGATGCCTAAGTCTTTGTCTATAAATATTATAAAAGCCCTCCTATAGGGACACCAAAGTGCGGTCAGCACCCTAACAGTAAACATGCGAATTAGAAGGCATGTTACAAACTCATTCTACACATGAGACAATTTTTTCAAGGAGAAACTGGATGGTCTTGTTCTCTTTCCTAATGTATCTATTCTCTTAAGACAATAGTCTGGCATGTCTCCTTTCTACTAATTCAGTGCAGTATTAGCTTCTGACTGTTACCAGTAACCTGCTCCTTTTCTAATACAGCAGGACCCTATACCTACTCAGCAGCATTCTACTAAACTGCTTCTTTTAAATAATAACAATGTCTAGCACTTTTCATCAGTAGATCGCAAAGTGCTTTACAACAGAGGTCAGTAGAATTGTAATTATTGTTAGATAGGGAAACTGAGGCACAGAAAAGTGACATCACCCATCAGGCCAGTGGTAGAGCTGGGAAGAGAACCTGGTTCGCTGGACTCCTAGTCTGGTGCTCTGTCTAAAAGGACTATGGAATGTATGGCTCAAAATGCATGAAATTCACAGTACAAGAGCTCTCTCCTGCCTTCCTTTCCAAAGAAACCCTGTTAGCTTGGGGAACTTCACAATGCCATGGTGCACTCTGAGGCATTAATCCTACCATACTGTTTAAACTGTAAGAAAGTATCAGCAAAACCACTGTATTCCGCTGCTCAGTGTGTGTGTGGGGGGGGGGTCAGTTGGTCAAGCCCACCCCCAGCAGAAGACCCTCAGTGGATCTGGGAGAGCAGACTGGGCAGATCACTTCCTAAGGGACTGGAAGATGGATGGTGAGTCAGGCTTCTTCCTTCTCCCTGAATTATTACTTATTTTGCCAGCAGTGAGTGAGGCACTTTACAGAGAGTAAGAAAACAAGGCCCCCTGACCTGCCCCTGCAAAGGGGCTTACAATCTACATAATCCAAGACTCTGACATTGTGTGTGTGTATTTCGGGGAGATGGCAGGCTCCTGAGAGGACATGTAAGAAATGGGAAAGCCTTGTGTTGGGATTGAGGGGAGGGGAGAGGTGAGGAGTATTTATCAAACGGTTTGGAAATCCAAAGGATGTTTGGAGTTGGTTTGGGGATTGAAGGAAAGTTCAGGGAGTTCTTATTTTAAATCAAGAGATATACCCTTTGGGTATGTCTACACTACGGAATAAGGTCGAATTTATAGAAGTCGTTTTTTTAGAAATCGGTTTTATATATTCGAGTGTGTGTGTCCCCACAGAAAATGCTCTAAGTGCATTAAGTGCATTAACTCGGCGGAGTGCTTCCACAGTACTGAGGCTAGAGTCGACTTCCGGAGCGTTGCACTGTGGATAGCTATCCCACAGTTCCTGCAGTCTCCGCTGCCCATTGGAATTCTGGGTTGAGATCGCAATGTCTGATGGGGCTAAAACATTGTCGCGGGTGGTTCAGGGTACATATCGTCAGCCCCCCCTTCTCTCCCTCCCTCCGTGAAAGCAAGGGCAGACAATCGTTTCGTGCCTTTTTTCCTGAGTTACCTGTGCAGACGCCATACCACGGCAAGCATGGAGCCCGCTCAGGTAACCGTCACGCTATGTCTCCTGGGTGCTGGCAGACGCGGTACGGCTTTGCTGCACAGTAGCAGCAACCCATTGCCTTCTGGCAGCAGACGGTGCAATACGATTGGTAGTCGTCCTCGTCGTGTCCGAGGTGCTCCTGGCCACGTCGGCTGGGAGCGCCTGGGCAGACATGGGCGCAGGGACTAAATTTGGAGTGACTTGACCAGGTCATTCTCTTTAGTCCTGCAGTCAGTCCTATTGAACCGTCTTATGGTGAGCGGGCAGGCGATACGGACTGCTAGCAGTCGTACTGTACCATCTTCTGCCAGGCAGGCAAGAGATGAGGATTGCTAGCAGTCGTACTGTACCATCTTCTGCCGAGCAGCCATGAGATGTGGATGGCATGCAGTCCTTCTGCACCGTCTGCTGCCAGCCAAAGATGTAAAAGATAGATGGAGTGGGTCAAAACAAGAAATAGACCAGATTTGTTTTGTACTCATTTGCCTCCTCCCCTGTCTAGGGGACTCATTCCTCTAGGTCACACTGCAGTCACTCACAGAGAAGGTGCAGCGAGGTAAATCTAGGCATGTATCAGTCAGAGGCCAGGCTAACCTCCTTGTTCCAATAAGAACAATAACTTAGGTGCACCATTTCTTATTGGAACCCTCCGTGAAGTCCTGCCTGAAATACTCCTTGATGTACAGGCACCCCCTTTGTTGATTTTAGCTCCCTGAAGCCAACCCTGTAAGCCGTGTCGTCAGTCGCCCCTCCCTCCGTCAGAGCAACGGCAGACAATCGTTCCGCGCCTTTTTTCTGTGCGGACGCCATACCAAGGCAAGCATGGAGGCCGCTCAGCTCACTTTGGCTATTAGGAGCACATTAAACACCACACGCATTATCCAGCAGTATATGCAGCACCAGAACCTGGCAAAGCGATACCGGGCGAGGAGGCGACGTCAGCGCGGTCACGTGAGTGATCAGGACATGGACACAGATTTCTCTGAAAGCATGGGCCCTGCCAATGCATGCATCATGGTGCTAATGGGGCAGGTTCATGCTGTGGAACACCGATTCTGGGCTCGGGAAACAAGCACAGACTGGTGGGACCGCATAGTGTTGCAGGTCTGGGACGATTCCCAGTGGCTGCGAACTTTCGCATGCGTAAGGGCACTTTCATGGAACTTTTTGTGACTTGCTTTCCCCTGCCCTGAGGCGCATGAATACCAAGATGAGAGCAGCCCTCACAGTTGAGAAGCGAGTGGCGATAGCCCTGTGGAAGCTTGCAACGCCAGACAGCTACCGGTCAGTTGGGAATCAATTTGGAGTGGGCAAATCTACTGTGGGGGCTGCTGTGATGCAAGTAGCCCACGCAATCAAAGATCTGCTGATATCAAGGGTAGTGACCCTGGGAAATGTGCAGGTCATAGTGGATGGCTTTGCTGCAATGGGATTCCCTAACTGTGGTGGGGCTATAGACGGAACCCATATCCCTATCATGGCACCGGAGCACCAAGCCGCCGAGTACATAAACCGCAAGGGGTACTTTTCGATAGTGCTGCAAGCTCTGGTGGATCACAAGGGACGTTTCACCAACATTAACGTGGGACGGCCGGGAAAGGTGCATGATGCTCGCATCTTCAGGAACTCTGGTCTGTTTCAAAAGCTGCAGGAAGGGACTTTATTCCCAGACCAGAAAATAACTGTTGGGGATGTTGAAATGCCTATATGTATCCTTGGGGACCCAGCCTACCCCTTAATGCCATGGCTCATGAAGCCGTACACAGGCAGCCTGGACAGTAGTCAAGAGCTGTTCAACTACAGGCTGAGCAAGTGCAGAATTGTGGTAGAATGTGCATTTGGACGTTTAAAGGCACGCTGGCGCAGTTTACTGACTCGCTTAGACCTCAGCGAAACCAATATTCCCACTGTTATTACTGCTTGCTGTGTGCTCCACAATATCTGTGAGAGTAAGGGGGAGACGTTTATGGCGGGGTGGGAGGTTGAGGCAAATCGCCTGGCTGCTGGTTACGCGCAGCCAGACACCAGGGTGGTTAGAAGAGCACAGGAGGGTGCGGTACGCATCAGAGAAGCTTTGAAAACCAGTTTCATGACTGGCCAGGCTACGGTGTGAAAGTTCTGTTTGTTTCTCCTTGATGAAATCCCCCGCCCCTTGGTTCACTCTACTTCCCTGTAAGCTAACCACCCGCCCCTCCTCCCTTCAATCACCGCTTGCAGAGGCAATAAAGTCATTGTTGCTTCACATTCATGCATTCTTTATTCATTCATCACACAAATAGGGGGATGACTACCAAGGTAGCCCAGGAGGGGTGGTGGAGGAGGGAAGGAAAATGCCACACAGTACTTTAAGCACAGCACTTTAAAAGTTTACAACTTTAAAATTTATTGAATGACAGCCTTCTTTTTTTTGGGCAATCCTCTGTGGTGGAGTGGCTGGTTGGCCGGAGGCCCCCCCACCGCGTTCTTGGGCGTCTGGGTGTGGAGGCTATGGAACTTGGGGAGGAGGGCGGTTGGTTACAGAGGGGCTGCTGTGGCAGTCTGTGCTCCAGCTGCCTTTGCTGCAGCTCAACCATACACTGGAGCATACTGGTTTGGTCCTGCAGCAGCCTCAGCATTGAATCCTGCCTCCTCTCATCACGCTGCCGCCACATTTGAGCTTCAGCCCTGTCTTCAGCCCGCCACTTACTCTCTTCAGCCTGCCACTTACTCTCTTCAGCCCGCCACCTCTCCTCCCGGTCATTTTGTGCTTTCCTGCACTCTGACATTATTTGCCTCCACGCATTCGTCTGTGCTCTGTCAGTGTGGGAGGACAGCATGAGCTCGGAGAACATTTCATCGCGAGTGCGTTTTTTTTTCTTTCTAAGCTTCACTAGCCTCTGGGAAGGAGAAGATCCTGTGATCATTGAAACACATGCAGCTGGTGGAGAAAAAAAAAGGGACAGCGGTATTTAAAAAGACACATTTTATAAAACAGTCGCTACACTCTTTCAGGGTAAACCTTGCTGTTAACATTACATACATAGCACATGTGCTTTCGTTACAAGGTCGCATTTTGCCTCCTCCCACCGCGTGACTCCCCCTCAACCTTCCCCCCTCCCTGTGGCTAGCAGCGGGGAACATTTCTGTTTAGCCACAGGCAAACAGCCCAGCAGGAATGGGCTCCTCTGAGTGTCCCCTGAAGAAAAGCACTCTATTTCAACCAGGTGACCATAAATTATATCTCACTCTCCTGAGGATAACACAGAGAGATAAAGAACGGATGTTGTTTGAATGCCAGCAAAAATACACTGCAATGCTTTGTTCTACAATGATTCCCGAGTACGTGTTACTGGCCTGGAGTGGTAAAGTGTCCTACCATGAAGGACGCAATAAGGCTGCCCTCCCCAGAAACCTTTTGCAAAGGCTTTAGGACTACATCTAGGAGAACCGCAAATGCCAGGGCAAAGTAATCCTTTCACATGCTTGCTTTTAAACCATGTATATAGTATTTTAAAAGGTACACTCACCAGAGGTCCCTTCTCCGCCTGCTGGGTCCAGGAGGCAGCCTTGGGTGGGTTCGGGGGGTACTGGCTCCAGGTCTAGGGTGAGAAACAGTTCCTGGCTGTCGGGAAAACCGGTTTCTCCGCTTGCTTGCTGTGAGCTATCTACAACCTCCTCCTCATCATCATCTTCTTCGTCCCCAAAACCTGCTTCCGTATTGCCTCCATCTCCATTGAAGGAGTCAAACAACACGGCTGGGGTAGTGGTGGCTGAACCCCCTAAAATGGCATGGAGCTCATCATAGAAGCGGCATGTTTGGGGCTCTGACCCAGAGCGGCTGTTCGCCTCTCTGGTTTTCTGGTAGGCTTGCCTCAGCTCCTTCAGTTTCACGCGGCACTGCTTCGGGTCCCTGTTATGGCCTCTGTCCTTCATGCCCTGGGAGATTTTCACAAAGGTTTTGGCATTTCGAAAACTGGAACGGAGTTCTGATAGCACGGATTCCTCTCCCCAAACAGCGATCAGATCCCGTACCTCCCGTTCGGTCCGTGCTGGAGCTCTTTTGCAATTCTGGGACTCCATCATGGTCACCTGTGCTGATGAGCTCTGCATGGTCACCTGCAGCTTGCCACGCTGGCCAAACAGGAAATGAGATTCAAAAGTTCGCGGTTCTTTTCCTGTCTACCTGGCCAGTGCATCTGAGTTGAGAGTGCTGTCCAGAGCGGTCACAATGGAGCACTCTGGGATAGCTCCCGGAGGCCAATACCATCGAATTGTGTCCACAGTACACCAAATTCGAGCCGGCAACGTCGATTTAAGCGCTAATCCACTTGTCAGGGGTGGAGTAAGGAAATCGATTTTAAGAGCCCTTTAAGTCGAAATAAAGGGCTTCATTGTGTGGACGGGTGCAGGTTTAGATTTAACGCTGCTAAATTCGACCTAAAGTCCTAGTGTAGACCAGGGCTGAGGTAATAGGAAGTTGTGAACTGATTGCTTCTCCTTTCCCCTCTTGCTGATCCGCTATTTGGTTTTAATGCCTGTGACTGATCTATTTAGAGGAGCTTGTGGCTGCCTTCCTGTTAGCACTGGTGGTGGTAGACAATTTTGCAGTTCTCATGATGTGGGGTTGAATGGCAAATGCGCATCTACCACAATCTGAAAAGCAATTCCACTGTATCCTGGAAGCAACTAAAGTACCTTGAAAGCAGCTACTGTAATCTGCTTAAAGATGTGGAGGTCATAAGTCTAGGAAAACATGCTCTTAATGGGCTACAAACAGCTACTTTGTTTTAGCAAGTTAAATTTTTCATTATTTTGCAATAACCTTAAAGCACACATGTAAATTCATTTCACTGCAACAGTACAATCTATATCTATTTATACTTGTATATGTATTACTTGGGGGAATTGTTTCCATTTTCAAAGTTTCTAACTCAAATCCTACTGATTTGATCCTATTGATTTGATTGAATGCATCCGATGAAGTGAGCTGTAGCTCACGAAAGCTTATGCTCAAATAAATTTTTTAGTCTCTAAGACTAACATGGCTGCTACTCTGAAACCTGTCAAATCCTATTGTGATTCCTGGCAAGGCTGGAAAATATTATTCCTAGAGAAACTATTTTCTTCCTATAAGGACAAAAATTTAGTGTAGGAATGAACATTGCCCATTGACTTCAATAGAAGTCGCACCTGCTCACACCATACCTGAATTTAATTAATAAAGATTATATTATTCACCTTTAGGCAAAGGTTGTCATGTGCACACCTCTAAGCATGGTCCACAGGAGATCTTCTGTACACATACAAGTAGGCCATTATCAATTATCTTGTAATGTGGTTCACTGAAAATGAAGTAGGGAAATTTACCTTTTCGATCTCTATTTGTGCTGAGGTGCTAGTTAGCTTCAGGAACATACGGTTGCCTTGATCCCAGGGTGAGTGCTGTGTGTAGGTGTACCTGTAGCAGCTGAATGGAAGTGCTCTGTAGTTTTTGCTGAGAGGATCTCTCAGAACACTGTGGGAAGCATGCTGGATAATGTTCCTTATTCCTGCTAGTAAAAGATACATTATATATTCCCTCCCATACACCACTATCCTCTCCTTGCACCTGCTGCCAGATGCTAGTATGCATGTGAAGTGGGAGGGGCCATGACCATGCCTCAAGCCCAGTTCATCACGCTCCTTATCATTGTGGGTTGCTGCTGGGTGTGAAACTACCTACCACCTGCATTCAAGGAGTGCTAGTCTAAGCATTCCTTCCCTCCCCTGCCCCCCACGCACCCACCCCCTCACTCCACATGCACTTATGCAGGAAAAGGTAAACAATATGCCTTAATTATGTTGGGCAAAGGCAAATGTCCAAGAATATCTAGTGAATAGCTGACAAATCCCCTTGTGTTCTCTAGGCTATCAAAGATTTCAATACTTAATCTCCTAGGCCTATTTTCATCACAGTTAAATAAATCAGACATTCTTATCTAATTTCCTAAGATAATAGGACTGGGCAGAGAATTTAATACATAATTTAACTTTTCTGCAGGCACCATTTTCAACACATTTATCTTCCTTACCTGTCTTAACTGTAACTTATCCCACTTCTGTAATTCTGTTTCTATATTATGAAGAATGGAGTCTACATTCCTCTAAAGCACACTTGAAAAAATAATTGCCAAATTCTTAAGTCCCAGTGATGTTACCCTTTTACCTACTTCTATTCTGTGGATAAAATATGATAGACTAGACCCTCTAGATATTGACAGACACTGTTTCCAGTTTAATGTTCTGCTCTGAGATATAGCAAAATATAGCTGACAGTTTAAGAAGTTACAGAATGAAATCATCTGTTTTCATTAAGTTAAATAAAATATCAGCATCAGCATTTAGAAGATTTTTTTGCTCCTTGTTCACCCTGTTAAGTCCCCTGATTTCCTTCCTTCATTAACTCTGAAGAACTACTTTCAAAGGCTCAGTGGATAGAGTTAACAATGATGTCTATAGGAGATAACCCTGCCTGGTGCCCCTTGAAATGTTACACAACTCAGAGGTATTGTCTAGTGAGCACTGATGTTTGGGATTTTTTTTAAAAGGTACAGTCTTGTGATAAAAGCATTTGATTGTGATTCAGCGTCCTGGGTTCAATTCCTCACCCTCCCACAGACCCTCCTGTGTGATCTTGGGCAAGTCATTTTATCTCGGAGTCTATGTTCCACATCTGTAAAATGGGGATAATACACCCTTTCTCCCACCCTTTGTTTCTCTTGTCTACTTGAAGTGTAAACTCTTTGAGGCAGGGACTGCCTCTTACTTTGTGTTTGTACAGTAGCTAGCACAATGGGGACCTGATCTCACCTGGGGACTCTAGGCAATAACGTCGTTCACAGAATAAATAATCCCACACTGTTGAGATCCATAGCAGTTTTAACACTGATTGCCATGAGAGCTGGACTGAACCTTAGAAAACACAATGATTCTTTTTAGTCTTTTGTTTCCATCTGAGCAAAAGGTAGTATAGCAGTGTCTTATTCCTGCCTAGGCATCAGCCACCAGCAATATTGGCAGGACTGTAAAGATCACTAATAATAGTTAACTGCTGACCAGAAAACCAGACAGAGAAACTCATTCACTATTTTTGGTGTGTTTGAATAACATGGAGGCGATATAAAAAAAACAATCGAAATATTAAGGGATTTAGAAGCCAAAGTATATTCTTTGCTGTATCAAACTTAAAATAAGTCAGTTTTTACCTAAACAGTAACCCTTTAAAACCTATTTTAAATTAAAGTACCTCCACATTTTGACAAATATCAAAGTAGGCTGCAGAGACCAATACCACTAACCTATGCATTTGCTACCAGTCACGGCTCAGAGATTGCTCCTTTAATTAAAGGTACCCTCATTTTTTCACTCTAAAAATAAGTGTTTAGATTATGATGCACTGGTGACCAGCTGGAGTGATGGTCTATTCCAGTTCTAGATTTTATACATACCTCAGCTACTCTTATGGCTTCCAGGATTCGGCTATCCTTTTCATTGTTCTTTTGTTTCTGTAAAGCTTTCCATACTGCATTCCTTAAGCCTTCTCGACTCACATCCCCACAGAGTTCATTGCACATCACAACGAGATTGTAAACAACACCATAGCGAATAACCCAGAATAGTTCTTCACCTGCAAATAATTATATTTTAGCATGTGGTACATGTAACAATTTTGGTATCAGATTAATCTATTTTAGGAAGAGACAAAGAAACAGAAAACCTTTATTAAATGCAGAGTTAATATAATACAGAAAAGTATGCTTTAGGTTTTTGTGGGAAGTGTTGCAGAGAGCTTGGCTTAGTGAATTCAGCCATCCTACAGGGGATACTTGATTTTGGAACAGAATAATCAAATCTCTTAGATCACAGATTTTGTTGGCATATGTGAGTCTGACTAAGAAAACTCTGTGTGTGTTTGGGGGGGGGTGTCTGGGAAAGGAGGGGGAAATGGAGTGGGAGGGATTAAGTATCAAGTTAAAATGCCTAAGCCCGCTAATGGAAATAAGTCTCCATTACAGTATTCCAGACTTGCAAAATGATTTGATCTCAGTGCACTATTGTTCAGCTCTTATGAAAAAATACTGCCATTCCCTTTTCTGTTTGGAACAGAAGGTAGAAGACTTCATATAAGCATAAAAGTATTTAAAGTGTCAAAGGAACCAAACAAGTTAAATTACAGTGGTTGCCCTGAAAACCTTTCCCATGTTGTCTTAAATAACACTACCTCCACATTCATAATGTCCCCTACACGCCCTTAGTAGTCTAAGGGAAATTTCAAATAATGAGGTAATGCTCACTTGCTATCTAGCAGCCTGGTCCTGCAGTCTGCTGAGTGCCTCCTGAAAGGTGCTCAGTAGCATGTTTGATTCCCTTTGAAGTCAACAAGAGCTCAGAAGGCTTAGCAATTGGCAGATGGTGCTGAGCACCTTGCTGTATCAAGATCGGAGACAGTTTTTTATAGAAGCCAGTGCCACTGTGTATTCCTAGTGAATTTAAGGAAGAAGAGGACTGGAGTATTTTTAAGGGAACTGTGCACAAAATATTCAGATTTATAAATATTAAATAAGAGATTTAGTTGCCCTTGTTAGAATTGAGATTAATGTAGCATGAACTCTGGAACAAACCCACACTATTGTAGGCTGTATCTTACAAACATAAAATATGTATAGCTTAAAGCTATTGGAAATAAAAGTATTATTCTGAATCTTTTGGACACTAGACCCCAAAACATTCAGGTCTAACAACACAAAAAAACATAAAATTATGTGAATGAATGTATGTATACGCAAATGGTATTATTAAATCATTGATCAGTTCCAGAAAACGCTACTGTATTTCCTGTTTTTGAAGGTAATCGTTGGTTTTGAGCATTATATCCCTTCACGTGTACTAGTGGTCAAGCACAGGTCCCAAAAGCAAGCGATGAGTTGTTTGCAATTTGAGGATTATTGATTTCTAGGGGACAACTCTGTTACCCAAGTTGTTACCATCATGGAGATCTGCAGCTTGAAGGTCAGCCTGAGAGAATTTAAAACTAGCACAAATGGTATGAACCTGATTAACAAGATTCTGGATAACTGATAAGTCAGCATGGATAACAGGCACAAAACAGTGAGTCAGTGTAACTAAGAGCAGAACTTGGCCCAGAGACCTCAAGCACAAAGCGTCAGAGGCTGAAGTACAACGAATGTACTTCAAAAACAGTGAGGAGACACAAATCCATTTTTTCTGAATTACTTAAGTCCAGTAAGACTTTAAGTAGTTGCACTGAAGACCTTCAAAAGTGGATCTGAAACCAAAGCTATAGAGGACACTTAGTAGCCAGTGCCTTGTAAAGAAAGTATTCACTGAATCTGTTCTTTCAACCATGAATTATAAGGTGAATGTGTAAATAATATTGCACTAAAGCAAATACAAGGTATACAGAGAACCAAAAATCATGGTGTGACTGATAATTATAGGAAGAGAACACAAAACAAACACTGGAAAATTAATTAGATGAGAAAGAGATCATGCAAACTATAAGAAAAAATAAATGACACCATGCAGGACGTATATACAATCCAATTTTGTTTTGTAGAGGGTCTTTCATACAAACTATCCCAAAAGGCTTTACACCTTGTAACTATGTTAAAATTAATAAATGAACACAGGGG